TACATACCAAATTAAGTTATTCTTGGAGAATGGGAGTAGGGAAAGGGAATAAGGAGAAATCTTTTCACACATTTATATTTTGCTTGAATTTGTCAACTAGGATTACCTTTGAATTTCCACAATAAAACATTTTAACAAGTACTTTTGTAATCAGAACAATCAACAGTTATTATTTACATATTTTAAGTAAGAATAATAATTCTCTATTGGTATTAAGTGACTATTTCATTTTAAAATATCAGCTAAAAGACCCAGGATTAAAATTAGAACTGTAAATCAAATCAACACCGAGTTTCAATGGGGTACTCATGACCAGATACAACAGAATGTGGGCAAACAAAATCTAATCAGGTTAAGTGAAGAGCTGTTCCTTTCTGCGAGAGAAATACACTACAGCAAACTCCATCATAGAAAAAAGCCATGCTTGCACCTTTTTGGTGGCATCATCACCTCCAGGGTTTACTCAATGCCTTGGCAAGGTTTGGAAATAAAAAATTAGACTTAAGGTACCTCAGATAACATTTAATCAAATTCTCTCATTTTATAGTTGAGAAAACAAGCCCAAAGTGAAGCACATTGCCTACAGGTGCTATAGCCAACTAACAGAATAGCTAGCTCTAGAACCAAGGCCTAGTTTCTATTCCAGACCTAGTATACTTTCTACTTCTCAGATCTCCCTGGGTCTTCATTCTGATGACATATTGGGAAACAGTCTTAATTCTTATGAATATTAGACACCCCTATATTTTAATTTCAGAACAAAAATGCATGACAAAAAATGTATACACCTCCATTAGAACAGATGATCAAAAATTTACTGTATTTGGACAAAAAAACACTGGCAAACATGTTCTTGAAAAGTAATGCATAAATTTCTGTAAATCTATTTTACTGTTCACTTAAGAAGTACTGTTCTATCCAGTTTCTGGTTGATCTTCAATTGGCAGTGCCTCTTATTCCTTGACCTTCAGTTTCTCTAGATCAACTAGTTAATGCTCTATATACAAACATTTAAAACCACCAATGGAAGCACCTATTTAAAGGAACCTTGCTATGAATCCTTTTTTCTGTGTAATGTTAATTATTACCCCAGTTTGTCTGTTTTGTAAGGAATGAGTATTCTGTTCTCAAAAGTGTAGACAGATGATAGATAAGCAGGCGGGGAGGAGAGAAAAAATAAAATAGGCAACAATTATTTTTTTGTACAAGGAAAAAAAAAGATAAGAGGCAAGAAGGGTGGTTAGGTGGTTGGGAAAGGAGTAGCAAAGAACCACAAGCTAAGTCAGTCACAAAATGTTTATATTTTTAAAATAAACTTGAATACTGCAATGTATAAATGGACTAACAACCCACCTAACCTTCAGACTAATTAAACTGGTGTCCAGTTTTCAACTCTATGACTTAGGGACATGTGAGCACCTTGGACAAGCTTCAGAATAATAAAGATAAAAGGGTTAAAAATGAGCCAAGAAAAGAGAAATTAGAATTGCTATTGTGTCTAAGAAGAAGAGAAGACCAGGGTGACTCAACAGTCCTCAAAGATATGAAGTACCCATTTCAGTGAGCAGCTTGTCTGCATTTCCACAGCAGAAAGTAATTTTACTTAAATCATTAGAGCATATATGTGAACACAGAAGTGTCTCACTAAGGATACCTCATGAAACAAAAACTCCAGAGAGGCCTGAATGCTGCCCACCTTTCCACCCTCTACTAGCTCAACACCTCATCTCAAAGAATGTGTCAAAGGGTAGATAAAGCACCTTCATAATGTGAGAATTTAGACTTCTTTCGTGCCTACATTCAAAATTTTTCATTACTCTCTGTCCCCCAGGTTCCAGCGTAAGGTTGAACCACTTCTATGCTATGGATAAAGGGGACTAATCAGTAATAAATACCTAGATGCATGCAAAAATTGAGTTCCTTATAAAAGTATGCTTCTCCTCAGTGTTGATGGGTAAGATGACTTGGATTTGGTTTTCTTTAAGGACTCCTTAGTGTGCTCAAATGGCCCATATAACTCCAAAGAGAGGGTATTTACCTGACCTGATACTAAAAAAAAAGACTAGACAACTAACCAGATGTGCCTGGACCTCTTACTTTGTCTTTAGAATTTTCTTGTCGGGTATAGACGTTTCCTAAACTAAAGTATAAGAAGTTTAAGTTTTCTGAAGAGTCGTATTTTATTTTACCAAGACCATCCCACCCCATCTCCAGCCCAGATTTTAGCATAAGGCTGGGCACACAGAAGGCTATTAGTACTTGTTAAATGAATGTCATCAGTCCAAATTTTTGTTCAGATTTTATTTTATAGCTGTTTTGGCTAGTTATTCTCTAACACTGTTGCCTATGAGGGTTGCATTTCTCCTTAGTATTCCTTTCTCTTATCTTGCAAAATCATCTATTCTTCCCTGTCCACTCAGCTATCTTTCTTTAGTTATCTAATTCCTGAACTACCAAAACCTCTTAACTTCCTCAATTCAGCCCTCACACTTCTACTTAAACCCAAGTATGAATATTAAGTCACCTTGATTCATAATCTTTTGACCACATCACTTTCTGTACCTTTTTTCCATACTCAACTACATGATTAAAACTAGCTTTGACATCCCAAATGACAAAATTCCTACCTCCTCTCATTCTAAACCTTTCCCAAAAACCACTTTGTACGGGAAGCCATTTCAGAGTACACTGGTCAGATGAAAACATCCACCCATCAAAAGTTCTTAAGAGTTCATTCACCTTTCTGCCTGCATCAAATCTATTTGAAAGGAAATAAAAGGTCTCGATTGAGATAAAAAGCCTATGAAAGAATGTTTGTAAGGTAGTGTGAGGGTGTGTGGGAGGATCACAACCACATGTTTATGTACACATACAGGATATGCATATACATACCTACACACACACACACCCTCTATAAATATATTCTGCCCAAATTAGCACAAACCCACAGCTTAAAAACTAAATCTGCTAAATCTGACCCAAACCACAGGTACTGAGCCATGGCTACTTCCTGCAAGCAGATGAATTACCTCTGTAACAAAGTCAATGGCAAGTTCCAAAAAGGGTAGTAAGTAAATATCACTATAGGTACCTAGCTACATTTTTCTAATTCAAATGCAAAACTTACTTATCACCTCAGGATACTGACCATGTTGTATGATTTCTGCACAATACCCAGAATATCCTAGACACTAAAAAATACTAAATTTACAACTTAAGGCTTGCTTCACAGTGGTTTAATATGAACAGAGTTCAATATGACATTATCTGACAGAAGAATGAACAGTTTGCTGAATAAAAGCCCCGAGTCAGGATATATACATAGCAGAAATGGGGCCTCAGGCACTCAGCACTTGTGCACAATGAAAGAAGGAAATCTTTTTAAAAAAAAAGTAATAGAGGATACAAATAAAAAAGGCAGCAACACCACCAACTTTGGGGAGGTGGGAAAGGGAGCAGAGCCTCTCTCTAGGGGCTACTCAGCCCCTGGCACAGGTTCAGCAGCTAGAGAGCTGATATGTCTTGGGGAACTTCAACATTTATATAGACTCCAATCCCATGTCAAAATTCAGTCCTGTTCTCTCCATCAGAGTCTTGTCAGTCAGTAACCTTTTTTCCCCAAGACCCCATATACAGTGCTCCAACCCTTCCATGATAGGGAGTCTACACAAAGAGCCCCCACTTTCATCCTGACACCAGAGTTGACTTGCTCTCATTCCACCACTTCAGATAGGTACCAGACCCCAGCAAACAAACCACTACCTTCCAGACAGAAGCCCAGGAAAGCTGCCAGCCTCAAGAAGCTACTTCAGACTTGAAGATTTGGGAAATCCACACCTAGCTGCTATCCCTAGCTCAACTTCTGCTGAGAATTCTCATGGGAAACAAGTATAGGCAGCTCAGTGACCCCATGACCAAGCTGGGGAGGGGACTGACAACTTTCCCCTGAGCCCCATTCAGCAGCTCAAAGTGCTTAGGGGAAGTCAGAGATGGTGTGGTTTGTTTTTGTGCTTCTACCCTGTGGCAGCACTAAATGGGATGGGGGGAAGGGACAATGGAAGGAAAGGAGTGGGCAGGTACCCAGAAAATGATCCACTCCCACCCTTCAAGGAGTTACCTGGCAGTGGTGAGTTGCCCCCACCCCTCAAGCCACCAAACCTGCAAAGCTAACCCATAAAGTAGCAAGGGCTTGGGGAGGGAGAACTGTTGGCCCATCATGACTCACCTGCTGGTGAACAAGAATAGGCAGCCAGAGTGGGGAGCCACAGAGGAGAGGGACTGGGCAATAGGAGCTCCCCTCCTGCCCTATGGCTTTCTTCTGACTCAAGCAGCCATGACAATGGGCCCAGAAAACCCAAACACCTTGCTCCACACAACAGACTGCTTAGACTCTAGGAGGACTACTGCCATAAAAAGCAACCAGGAGGGAGGGAGTAATAAAACAAACTGCTGAGAAAACCAGGAGCAGGCCTAGAGAAAACAAGGAGAGCTCTTGGGTCTCTACCACCCTCCCAAAAAGGAAAAAGTTCATGCAGGTAGGAAAGGCAGGGTTTTTCCCCTGCTCTGTGTTTAGTTTTTCCCCCGCTCTGTCTTCCTGGTTAAACCTAAAAGTAAGAAAAATCCCCTGGACTTGCAGCATCAGTATGTATCCAAGTACCCCACCAGCACAAGACTCCCTGACCCCCCCCAAAGGTTAGTCTTCTGGTATGGGTAAATGACCAAGAAATGGCCTTCTAGTCCAATCCCCACACACACACACCCAACCTCAAGCAAAGGGCATCTGCCTGTGATTTCCCACCTCTCCTCAGAGAAGAGGATCCTAGCAGAGTGCCCACCATGTAGTCAGGTACCAAGGAACACAATGCCAGACAGTCTTATCAGGCCAGGGGATGGGAAGCCAACTTTAGATCAGAGAGAGACAGAGGCTTAGTGTAAAAACCAATGTCGTTTCAGCAGAAAAAGTAGAGGGCAAGTGGTGAGAGGCTCTCCTACTGGCGCACCTTCCCGGGGACGTAGTTCCTGTCAATTGCCTCCTCTTGCAGGAACATGTGTAGGCAGCGTTCATTCTGAGCTAGTGGGTGCCCAGCAATTCTATAAAGAGACCAAGATGATTATCAGTACTATTTGGGACCAGAGATAATTTGCAGAGGCATGGGGGTATAGACAGGGGAGGAAGTACAAGGTCAGCCCTAAGGTTCAAGCAAGTAGAGGATAGCAGCAGGGTAGCACTTCAACCCTAATTGTACAGGGGAAAGGGACAGAGGGGGAAGGCAGGGGTAAATCCACCTCCAATATGCAGTGCTTTCTCAGGCCCTGAGCTATAGGACCAGAATTCTGCTCAAAGGAATGGGGTTTTACTATCCCCACACCTCACCACACCACTGGCACCACATCGTATTACCCATTACAAAACATAAAGAAAGACCGTGATGGCAAAAGTAGCAAGACAAGCCCCCAGGGACTTGGCTTACTTGTTAATAAACTGTTCAAGGCCCTGCCTCCTTTCTTCAATGAAGGACTCCTCAAAGATCCCTTCATCTCCTCGAAAAGGGAGCTGCCGCTTCAAGGCTTTCCCAGGCAGTGGTGGTACTACAATCTGCTGACAAATGCAAAATATTAGCCACGTGGGAGATGACAGAGAGGGAACAAGACAGTAAAACACTGTATACCTCCTTTCCCATCAGGCATAGGGTCCATCCTATCCTACAGCAGCAACTTGCATGAACTGAGACTGTAAGGACAGTCAGGCTCAAGTCAAAAATTAATCCAACTCTGCTTCTGTGCTAGGACAGGTTTACCACCTCAAAAGAAAGGAAATCAACTCCAAATATTCTTCTCTTTAACAATGCACTACCATCTAAGAATTTAGCTAGGCCTTTCCCGACACTATATTTCCATTTTTAACACTTACAGAAGTTGTATGACTTTACTTGCTACTAAGTCAAGTAATACTTTTTATAAAAAACATGTCCTGAACTTACCACTTTCAAGTTTCAAAGGGTATCACTCAGATCCAGTATACGGGCATTTGGTTAGACAGTGTGTGTTCACTCTCTTCATTGCCTTCAAGATTTTATAGACTGTGATCATATGCCCCCCTCAACCTATGCAGATCTCCTCCTCCAAGGGTGCCACACAGGGAACCATACCTTACTATCTCGCTCCAGCTCATTTTTTAGCCACTCAAAGTCACTATAGCGCCGCCGTACACAGGACTCCTTCAGCTTGAAGATAGGTAGGTTTGTCTACAAGGGAGGAAGAATGAGAGAAGGAGAGATGGTAAGTAATGCTCAGCCTTTGGTGGCCTCCTGTCAGAACCACTTGGACAGATCCTAGTGAAGAAACAGCTCTTCTGGACCATGCTTCTATAACCATTTCAAGACACTACCAGGTGAATACCAATTCTTACCACATCCAGCCTTGTCACATTAGTGTTTAGAAGTTCCCTGCTACTCAGAATTTATCCTACAAATAGAATTTATCCTACAAATTGACTTGAAGTTGTAAGTAGGTATGCACAAGGGTTTTCACTGCATTTATTATTTGTAATAATAATAAATGCCCTAGTGGTTACCAAAGGGGAGGCGTGGGGGAGGGAGGGAGAAGGGGATTGTGGGGTATCATGATTGGTGCACATGGTGTGGGGGGTGTCACGGAGAAGACAGTGTAGCTCGGAGAAGACAAATAGGGACTCTGTGGCATCTTACTATACTGATGGACAGTGACTGCAATGGGGTATGGGGGGGACTCGATAATAAGGGTGAATGTAATAACCAAATCATTTTTCTTGTGAAACCTTCACAGGAGTGTAGATCAATGATACCTTAATAAAAATAAATAAATAAATGCCCATCAATAGACAGTTGGCTCAATAAATTACAGTATGCCTGAACAGTGGGACACTATAGGGCTATGAAAAGAATGTGATATATATGTGCCAGTATGTAAAGATATGAAGCATTCAAATCAAGGTACAGAATAGTATCATAGCTTGCCTCTATTTATATAGTTTTAAGAATGGCTATGCACATGAATATTTAGTTATATTTATGAATAGATACTGGTAATAGTGAATGGCTTTGGAGAATAAGACTAAACAACTGGAATAGGTGGGTCACATTTTTCATTGCACAATCTGAATTTACCATGTGTACCTATCACATTTTCAACTGAAAAGTGAATTTAAGTTCATGGTAAAGAACAAGAAATAAGCACCTCCAAGGTATGTAATCCTGTTTTTCCCTGTCCATATCCTCTCCATGCTTCTAGTCCCACTTCATACAGGAAGTCATTCCTGACACCAGCTTAATTTACTGCTCTCCCTCTCCTCTGAACTATGACACTTATACTTTAGTATTGCCTGACATACTATTGTTTTATGCATCATAGTTAGTCTTACTACCTAACTAAACCATAATTTCACTGAACTCAGGAGCCATGACTACTTTCACACGTCCCTAAATGCAGACTTATGCAAGTTAATCAACAAATATTCAACTGATTAATAGAGGGCCTATATATCTGTTTACTCTCCTTATCTAGAAAATGGAGCAAAAACAGTAATTACATTAACTTGGCTTACCATAGCTCACGCCCTATATCAATCATCTTATTCCCACATCTTAATTATGCCAAGGCTCTAATGGTAACATAAACCCCCAACAAAAAGCCCTGATTCTCACTCCTGTTTACAAGTTCTAAATAGAAATGGCCAGCTGCATGTATTAATACTATTTCCCACCAGCCAATTCATATCAACAGGTGGAAAAGGAACAAATGGCCTTTCCTTTCTCCACAACTGCCGCAGGGAAAGAAAAGAGCATCTTGGAGCTGCACTAGAGCTTCACATAGTCCTCACTCACTACACAATGCTTTGTAGTGCTTGTATGGAAATTCTCTTTTCAGGATCCAGTTCTAGGTGTGGGTTATCAAAAGTCAAAAAATTAGCCAAGTTACATTAGTTACAACTCTACCCAGGATCAAGGTCCAAGGAAGGACAATGAGTTGAAGTGGAGTAAGGAAATGTAAGTAACATTTTATTACCGAAACTATTCTTTAGAGGAATAAATAAGAAACCAAACAGTGGTTTCTTTGGAAAAGGGAACCTCTGGAAGGCAGAGGAAGGGAGGCAGACTTAGTTTTTACAGTACGGTCTTTTTTGAACCTTTTGAATTTTGTAACATGGCATGTATTAACTTCTCAAAATAAACCATCACAGAGAACATTCTCGGAATCCTGCAAGAAATATACATGCATATCAAATCATCACATTGTACACCTTAAACTTATGCAAGGTTTTATGCCAATTTTATCTCGATAAAGCTGGGGGAAACATAATCCTGCAAAAATGAAAGCCCATGTGATTCTGTTTCCACCAGAGTTCATTACAAATAACCATGATCCCCAAACAGCAGAACCTTAACTAGTGGAGTTTTATAGAAGCCAACCGAAGGACCAAAGAAAAAAAAAACTGCTGAGTGCTGAGTAGATTCTTCCAAGACAGTGAAACCACCCACCGTCGTTTTGTGGACTTCCTCCTTTGACTCACAAAAATGCTATTCCCTCCCCTCCCCCACAGGATGGTGACAATAATGGCCTCTTATCTCAGCACCTAGCCATCTAAGCAAGAGGCTATGCACTAGGATAGGATAGTCTCCCAGTTCCAACCTTCAACTTCCATTCTTCCCCAAAGAGATGATCTCAAATAGTTCTTATACAGACAAGTTTTTGGTTTTTGGTTTTCGATTTTTGCTATTTGCTTTTCTTTGGATTTTGCCAGACTTGGAATTTGGAGATCATCATTTCTCAATTTAGATTTCAAAGCCCAAGTAGGAGACACACTCTAATTCAATTCATTCACTCATTCAAAAATGAAAGCACATAATTCTTTTAGGTCTTTAAATGCTGTTTGAGCAGCATGCTGTCCATAGAAAATATTCTGGCCCTCTAGTCAGAGAAGAAAACATAAGGAAAATTAGAAAATGGTCAACCTTTTTTGCCTGTAACCACTTCAACTGGGCAAAAGAACCTGCAAGCCACATACTCTATCTGCACATTCCATCTTTGCAATGTGGACTAAGAACTAGAGAATAAAGTCCACTGTAGGGCACACTAGAAGAAACCACTCTACTCCTGGGGCGGTCCTGAAATGTCATATATTAAAGTAACTACGGCCAGGGTCTGAATCCAAAAAGTTAATCTAGGGCAGAAAGGGCAAATGCCAGTACATACACTGAAAATTTAAATGAGAGCCAATAAATATTGAAATAAACATTCTGGATACTTCAAATCTAAAGGATCAGCACAGGATGTGAGCAGTGACTGACAATCCACCAATCCCAGTGCAAGGCCAGGTTTCACAGTGAGACACAGCATGTGGTACCTGAGAAAACTTAAGCATGAAGTACTTCTCTCCTTCAGATGCTAATTCTAAACAAGTATGGGGAGCATTCAATCTCAAGGAGATTTCCCTTGCTTACTTCTACTCCACCAAGCCCACTGTCTCCCTTTCCGGGAGTCTATCTTCCCTTTGGTCCAGGCTTTGCTTAAGTCCATCATTCCAGGGGAACTCCGTTAGGAAGAAGCCCGGCCTTCCTGCCCTCCCTCTTCACACGGACTTCCCACAACCTAGTTTAGATATGCAACCCAGTAATAGATTGCCTTGGCTTTCCATCCCCCAGCACCTCTTCCTCTCTTCCTTCCCTCCTGTCGCTAGAGTCATGACTCCTATGTCCTCCAATTCTCAACTCTAATCTTTCCCATCCTCCCCACCTTATCCAGCCATGCTTCACTTCTTGCTCTTGGCTACATGTTTTCCCTCACCCCGGTCCGACGTTCCCCTCAGGAGTTCTGTGTACCCTTGGGTCACAAAGCGAGTCAGCAGACCTCTTCCCAAGCCTATTAAGCCCCTAACCCCCAAATGACCCTTTCCAATGTGTTCTCCACCGTTAGTCGTCCCCCTGGCAGGCTCCTCGGCCCAGCCGCTCGGTCCTCCCTCAGCTGTCTCCCTCACCCCGTGACTTACCCGCATGCGAACCTCATAGGTGGTGAAGCGAGCGCGGCCCACGCCCACCGTCTGTGGATTAAAGATGTCGATCTCCAGGAAGTTACTTGGCGGCCCGTAAGCGTCCGTCAGGTCCTGTGGCTTCGAGTTAAGGCGCCGAGTGTCAGCTACCGCCGTGTCCGACATCTTTCCGAAGCAGAGCCCGGGACCGGGGAAGGAAGGGAAGGGGCCAGAGGCAGAATCGCGCACGGCCCCTCCCGTTTACAAAATAACCAGCCAACCCATGGACGGTGGCCCCGCGCAAGCGCACCCACGCACGCATGCACGTATGCACGCACGTGCACGTCTCCCCGGCCCTGCCCGGCCCGGCACCCTGAGTAACAACCGCACTTCCCGCAGTGAGTACTGGACGTAGGAGGCAGCATTCAGGTTTCCGGACGCCATTCGCGGCCACCCCGGAACCTGCATTTCCAATACGCAAAACCCAATATCCTGGGAAGCAGCGGAATCCGCCAATCGCTGCTTCTCAACTCAGTAAGTTGTCTACACTGTATATCAATCAGCATTAGGCACTGCGCCGCGAACTGGGATGCTGCGGTGAAAGGCCGAAGCCCAGTAACCTGAAAAAGTCAGGGTTTTGCGCGAAAATAGAAGGTTGGTCTCCGGAGGCTGGGGTTCCACCAATAGTCCTAAGAACCTAGAACGCAGCCCCTCCGTTTGTGCCATTGATAGTTTCAGTTCATTTCCACACGCATTTGCGCACTCGGTGCGCACTGGCTATGGTGCTGAGACTGGGACTGTGGACGTAGTCAGAGTAGGGTGAGGGCCTCCGGAGGGGGCAGAGCGGGATATTTGCAGTCAGAGCAGTGTAACTACATGCAAGGAAACCCCCCTACTAAGTCTCTGTGTTAAACATTAAGCTCTAGAATCATTCTTCCGTGAGATCAGTTAATGTTACCCAGATAAAGAAGAGTAGCACGTTTTATTATGCTAATCATTTTTAACCATGTGTAAGATTCACTTTAGCATACTAAAAGGCCCAGGCCTATGTGCTGTCTTTCCTCCTTCAGATCTGACAAGGTGATTTTGCAAACTGAGCAACTAACTTAGCATGCAGACCCAGCTGTAGACATGGTAAAAGGCAGGAAGAATTCCATCTTAAAAGATTGCATTTTAACACCCAGGAAGTTTAAGAGGCAGGATTCTTTAGCAAATAGACAATACCTCATCCCACCTTGGGGGCTGGGCAGACAGCCTTTTGATGTGCTCCCGGACCAAGGCGCCAGTGTCCCAGAGAGAAATCAAGGCAGAAAATTCCTTATGTTAAGTTAATTTTTAATATTCAGGAACCACTTAACAAGTCCACACCCTTAAACCCTTTTTCACGTTCCCAAATATCCTCAACTGCCTATAAAACCCCTAGACAATGCACCACCACAGACTCTCTTGTCCCTTCCTGGTGTGAGCTGGGAGCTCTGTCCTTTCACTTTATCTCTAAATAAAAGCCTGTACCTTGCTCTCCTACCTTGACTGTTTGTGAAGCTCATTCTTTGGCTTCGGGAACAAGAATCCCCCAGGATCAGTGCCAGGGAAGCAGCAAGGATAAGGTAAACAGATGATTTCTCATTCTCACCTCTTAGGAAAATTAGGGTCTGTCTTTATCCTCCACTTCTTGACACATAAGAGCTAACCCCAGGTATACTCAGTACATTTCTCAGCAAGTTGAGGGGATTTGTTTCATACCTTCTCTCTACGCTGCAATACTCCATACTTTGCAATCCTCTCTGAGGTTGCTTGAAGCCCGTAAAGGAGAGAGAATACTTGTCTACATGAGAATTTCTATTAAAATATTAAAGTTTATGACAAACTTACACATGGTGCACATGAACAGTTAGTGCCCCACATTTAAGGGTAGTGATTTTAGGTCATCCTTTCTCCTCCCTGCACTGCCCTCTTCTCAAAAAAAAAGTCCCATATCACTGATCCCTGAAATTCTTCCAACAGATTGCAAGGTCTTGTACTTTTACAACTGAGTTGTTTAATTTAATTTATCCGGTTATCTACTGAGCAACTAATGGGCCAGGCACCATGCTAAACACCAAAGACCCAGAGTTGAGTGAAAGAGTCCCTGCTCTCAGAGTTAACATACTAGAAATGGAGACAAGTAAATAAAACTAACATAATGTGACAAACACAAAATAAGCAAATGCTCAAAGCAACACAAAGGACATGAATAATTGAAGGAATCAGGGAAGGCTTCCTGGAGGAGGAAACATCAGTTTGACAAACACGACAAGACATAAAGGACAAACAAATGGAAATAGGGACAAGTAATTTTGTGCAGAGAGAATAGCACATGCAAAGTTATCCCAACAGGATATTTTTAGGCAATATTTTTAGGCAATTATCAATTCAGATTGTGTAATGGAAGTGCTTAGAGAGGTGGACTGACTAGGGATGGGCAGATGAGGGTGATCCTTCTGATTTAAGCAGGATGGCTTTATGATGTAGGCAGTAGGGAGCCACTGAAGGATCTTCAACAGGAAAAAGACATCAGATATGTATTTGAGAAGGGCTAGTTTTCAAGCAACATGGAAGATCTGAGTTGAATGTGACTATGACAGTACCAACAGTAAGACTTGGAATCATGTGGTGATGTTGGGAATGGAGAAAAGGAAAGAGGCAGAACTGAAATTGAGGAAGTAAAATAGAACTTGTATCTGATTGGCTATGGTGGTGATGTAGTATAGGGCGTAAGCATCTGAGCTGTGGATTTAGGCTGCCTGGGTTTAAGTCCCTGCTTCCTAGCTGTATAACCTTGAGCAAGTTATCCAAAGTTTTCCTTATCTGTAAAATGGAAATGATAAGACTAAAAGCTACTTCTGGGGCTTTTGTGAGAATTAAATGAAATAAAACATGTGCAAATAGTAAGTTTTCAGTAACCATGAGTTGTTATTACTATTTGAGGGGAGAGGGAGGAAATTAACAATGACTGCTAGGTTTCTGTTTAGGTGACTAGGTGGATGCTGGTACCACCAAACAAAAATGGAATTACAGAAGGAAGAGTAGGTTTGGAAAGGACAGTGAGTTCAGTTTAGATAAATCTGGGGTGTCTGTAGGACATCCAGGTGGAGCTGTCCATCAGGCAGCTGAAAATACTGGCCTGGAGCTTGAGGGGGTGATCAGAGTTAGAGATTTGGGAGTCATCAGCATACAGTGTAGAAAGAAAAATGTGAAGACGCAAGAATAGAAGATTTAAAAATTGGTGAAGGCATGTAATGTCGAGAGTGTAAATCTGTACAATCTTTCTGGGAGGCAAATTGGCAGTATGTATTAAAAAAGACCTTTGACCTCAAGAAACTTGTAATACTGGTTGTCTCTGGGGAGCAGAACTGGAGAACAGGAGTCAGGGATGGCAGGGAGAGTTGTTTTTCATTTCAATTTCATTTATGTTTAAGTACTTTTCTACCATTTTTTTTATTTAAATGGTATTTACCAAAACTTTTGACTCAAAATTTTCACTTCCATTAATTTATCCTGAGAAAATAATCAAATAGTCACATAAAGATACCAGTATATAGATCTTGCTTCAAAGAGTGAAAAATCGTTCATTTTATGCAATGGGATATTTTTGTAGCCATTTTTTCCTCACTAGTGAAGTTGTCTGTATGACAAGTCTTACAAAGGAGTAGTGGGTTCTATATTTTACAGACTTTGTATCTCAGTCACTACCATCATAAAACTCAGTCTCTTATGTAAAGGGCCAAATTCAGGATTCTTCTATGTATCCATGTAAAATAACGTTCTATGCTTGGTGATGTGGAATGCCCACAAGAAAGTTAAAAAAGCTGGTAAAATAATACCATAATGTGGTACCATTTTAACCATATATATATGATATATATGACAATTTTTTAAATTGGAAGACTATAAATCAAAACGTTAGCAGTGCTTACCTCTGGGTGGCAGGGTTTCAATTGGATTTTATGTTTTTATGTATAATTTTCTAAAGGATCTGATTTTTATACAACTTTTTTTTTAAATCAGGAAAAAAAAAGCTGTTTCCATTTAGGAAAAAAATTAAAGGGCAGGCACAGGAAGAGAAGCTTGTGGAGGGAGACCAGGAAGGAGTGCTCAGAAAGGTAGAAAAGGAACCAGGAGACAATAGTGATCTGAAGAGCAGGGATAAAAAATATTTCCAAAGAGAGCAAGTAGGTGGCTCACAGTATTTAACACAGTAGAACAGTATGCCACTAGATTTTACAGTTAACTAAATGAGCGCAGTTTCAGTAGAGCACTGGAGGTAGAACCCAGATTACAGTGGATTGGGAATTGAATCAATGGTGGGGAAGTGGAAACATATAGTAGATACTATTCTTTTGAGAAGCATGACTAAGAAAGGAATGTAACAGTTAGAGGGAAATGTGTTATCAAAGGATTTGTTTGTTTATTAAAGAGAGAAGAGATTTGAATATGTTTAACAGCTGGGGAGGGGAAGATTTCATAGAAAGTGAGAAATTGAATACACAGGTAAGTAAAGGGATAAGGCTTAAAATCAAATAGCCCTAGGAGATTTGTGCAAGTTAAATTCACAATGAGGTAAAAATATGTGGTCCTTTTTTTAAAGAGAAGGGTTTGATAGGGTGGAGAGAGGAGAGTAACGTGATAAAAGCTGTTACCAGCTAACACACACACCCTTGTTTTTCCTGAGCAGCACAGAGCTTCAGTTACCAAGTTATGTTGGGCAAGACAGTTATCCTCTGCACCTCAGTTATCACACACAAAATAAGAATAGACTACTCAAATCTCTTGGCAAAAGTGTGACATCAGAGCTCAATGTGAGCAATGCCCATTTTCCTCTCTACTGGGTTTCCTTGAACACATTCAATGTTTGCCAAAAGACGTGCAGAGTAGGGGGTCAAGAGAGATTTAGAATCCTTAAATTGGAAGGAATCTCATTAGTTCATCATCCTGCCCACAGGCAATACTGTACCTTAAACACACCTGTCCATCTTCCTGCCCTTAAATTTTTCCCAAAGGATATTGCACAATCTCCAACTCAGTGTTATGCAACCTACTGACATGAACTTCTTTCAAGTCTCTATTCAGACTGCCCTGAGGAAAAGGCAACTCAAAGGCCCATATAATTTGGGGTGTTTGTGTTTTGGGAGCAGGAGTCTGGACCTGCAAGGAGGGAGTAGGGGGTGCAGGGGAGGATGGTCTGAATCCTAAAAAAGCAGAGCAGCGAGGAAACCAGAGAGCAGCACTCAGGACACATAGTCTGTGAAAGGGTATCTGGCCGCGACCCTCCTTACCCCA